GCACTGGGCTTGCACAGAGGGCGATACCCCGCCTAAGGCCGTTCGCGCTCTGCTCACAGCTTTCCCCGAAGCGGTGATAACCAAGAATAATGCTCAGTATTTACCGATCCACCTCGCTGTGAAGGCACGCGCGCCTTTAGAGACTCTGAAGCTGCTCGTGGACTCGCGACCCAGCTCGCTAATGGAGGATACACCTGGAGGCAAGACAGTGACTCAACTAGCCAAGGTGATGCAACTTCCTCAGGGAGCACTGGAGATGCTTCAGCGTGCTGAACAAGACTATCTAGACCTAAACGAAGATGACGACGAGGCTTTTGACTATGAAAATGTCAAGCGTGAGATTGAGATGCAAAGCCAGCTCCTGCGTGAAAGTATGCTGCACCCACCGTCAATGAGCGGTCCAAACGCTTCGTTACCGGCATCGAATCCAATAAGTGCTGCATTCGACTTCTGTGCATCGCAAAACGCGTTTGAAAACAGCCAAAACATGGTCACGACGCTCAGCTTTGTCGACGGGACACTTGTACAGTCACAGTGTAGTTTGTCCAGGGCAATGTCGCATCCTTGCAAGACAGAAGAATTCATGCAGGTAAAAACAGACACTTCGACCTCGCCACCGACCTCATTAGCTCTACAGGCATGTGATGTACCTGCGTCGGAAATTACACGGTCAAAAAGTGCTCGAGAAATCATAGAGGCATCACCCCCCGCTGTTTTTGACGACCCAACTTTTGGGCGACCGATTTATGAGCCCGACCATAACGCGGGTGTATGCGGCGTATGTTACAAGAAATTCTCGATGTTTCGCAAGAAATACCAATGCAAGGGTTGTTACACATATCTATGTAAAAAGCACGTGGCTGGTAAAGTTATGCTATCAGATCAATCTAAAAAGCGCTCAGTGTGTGGTGACTGCTACCGAGTTTACCGCAGTGGTCCAATGTCAGCAAATACGCCGCCTGGGAGTGTTTATACTAGTGTACAAGCCGATAGCACCTCCGGAAGCTGCATGTCTGGAACTGGTCCGTCCTTTGGTAAGATGGGCTCAAATTGGCGGTCTATGATACCGCAACCGGTGGCGGCAACAATATCTGCATCATCGACCGTGGTTGAAGGAACGGAAACGATTGGTGCCAACGCTAACATACTTTTCAACAACCGCCTAAGCACTCCGCTGAGATCTCGTGGGAACAGCGTCCGCACGGCTCGTGCTGAGTCTACGCATTCAATGCTGGGCCGGTCGTCGAACGTTCCAGGACCTAAATTGACCCTGCGTTTCAGCACTAGTGGTGCTGGTACGCGACCCAATCGAGTACCAAGTGTAAGCCGAACGCACTGTACTAATCCCGCTATCAGTGATACGGCCGTCAGTCTTACGAATAGCGACAAGCAAGCAAGTAATGTGTGTGCTCTCCAACATCGCGTTGCATCCCTGGAGGAGTGCAACAAGCTACTGATGAGCCGTGTTTCTGAACAGGAGAAACAATATGACGAAGCAATGTTGCTTTTAACGACAACGATGACTCGTGTAGCAGAATTGGAAATGCGTCTGCCGATGGAGCAAAATAAATCGTATGGAGGAACCGGAGGTTCGACTACTGCGTCGGAAAGGGCTTCTGAAGTGGATAATGGCGAGAAGTTTTCTTTTGCAATGCCATTTATGGAGAAATACGATTAAAAGTATCTCTCAAAAATGAGAAATTGGTGTCGACGTTTTCGCGTGCTTGTTGGTCCGCACAACGCGCATCAACAAACACGACAGCTCAAATATCGGGTAAAGTAAATTTATGATGTTCAAGGTGATCATGAATGTAAGTGTTTAAAATATGTATTACGAAGACGATCCCATGAAATGAAGCGAAAAAAAAAGCGCTAGTCTATCTCCTCATTTGTTGATGTATCCGTTAACGCTCAGAACACGAATTCTCTCGGTTACCATTTATAATATTCCTATTGTTAGAGCTTTAGATAGGCAAGAGGATTTTTGGTTGCGCCTATTTAAATGGAACCTTCATTTTCTGATTTCCACCAGCAGCACAGCTCGAACTCTAAAATATGAGTGATCCATTTGAAACCCTCAATCCAATCGCTTCGAAAAAATCTGCAGCCGACAAGGCACTTTGTCAACCCCCGCAATCCCCGGTTGACATGAAAATGAGCTCTGGCTTTGCAACACCAGCAACCAACGGCTACTCTGGAATGGGTATGATGACTTCGGGACCCCAGCCTATCTTTAATTATGGTGGCATGATGCCTCACGGTGGCGTGATGCCTCACAATAGCATGATGACTGGACAGTTTGTTGTAGCAACTGGAACGGTGCTTAATTCAAATCAGACAATGCACCCGTCTGGACAGCAAGCTCCCATGTACGACAATATTAGGAAGCTCCTTGAGAAGAAGCCTGTCGTCGATGAATTGTCCATGGACTTTTTGGAGAATCTTGGCGGAGCAAAAGCTTCTGACAACTTCGTATTCGAATCTGTCCAAGCTCCTGTCAATCATTCAGAGGTTTCGAAGTCCTCCGCTGATCTAGACTTCGGCTTTCTTGCTGAATGTACACAGTCTCCTTCTGCGTCTGTTCACCCAATGTCACCTGCATCGGGAACAAAGTCAAGCGCGCTTGCTGTTCGCCTTGCTCACGGAAAACGTCCTACTCAAGAGGATGCTCGCAAAAATCTTGGATTCAAAGCTGGTGCATTTTCTAGCTCCGGACATGCCAAGATTTCTTTAAAATCTGTTGCAGGAGGGACGGCCGTTCCAGCCTCTAGTGGCGAACCCACTGTTGACGATTTCGTAGCCGGCAACGCTTCGTTAGCCCCGATTGATGATATATTTGCAGCGTCGCCAGTTACCCC